CTGCAAGTGCGGTTGGGGCGTGCCATCGAGCTTAGTGCGAAGTGTCGTCGTAGCAGCCGTGGTGTCTCCGTCGGGGCGCCGTCGTCGTGCGGTATGATCAGTGCAGGTTCTTCGTCTATTCGCCGGCAAGCAACCTCGCCTCCAAAGGCTGCTTTACTCAGTTTCCCCTACGAGGGCTCGGGGACCTTCCTCGCGCTGCCGCCGCGTAGCCACGGCCTGCCGATGTGTAGCGACTGTATGGCGGTGATGGTGATCGTGATGGACGGGTGGGCGGATACTCGGGACGGCGCAAGTAGTCTTCAACTTTATGTGGTCGCTGTCCGGGTCACGGTCGGTGCGTTGAGGGCAAAACCACGAAGTCCCATGCGTTTGTAAGGGCAGTATCTGAGGATGAGGCCTGGCTCACCGCAGTGAAAGCATAGTGGGCGGTGTTGGTCGGGGGTTCTCCAGAGGTCTGCTTTTCGCGGCGCTTCCAAAAAAACAGGTGAGTGAACGGGTGACGGCGATCGCTGGGGTGGTTCGTAATGCTCACGGTGCATGTTGGCGGTACCCCTTGGGCTGCGTACTGCGGCAGCGTAACTCATTCCCTGGTTTTCTTGACATGGAGTCGCCGTCCGAGAAACACCCGAAGCAATGCGAACTTCGTCGCCTATGACATCCGTGAGTGACGCTTCTGGAGGCTGCGAGGGTGATGGTATAAGTAGCCGCAGCTCCTCGCGGACGACTTCGCGTATTATTCACGCAAATTGCTGCTACTTGCAAACGTTGCTTGAGGGTCCATGGAAGCTATGTGCACTGTACGGTTGTTCTGGCGGTTTCGGGAATCTAAGGTCTTCTCAATGGTGGATGCCTCTTGCGTGAACTCGGCAACGGTTTGTGCGGGTTGCGAACTAGGCCAGCGAAAAGGGACTCTTTTACTCCTCGCATTAGAAGCCCAACCTGCTTTTCCTCTGCCATGTTCGGATCTACACGGCGGGTGAGGAGCTTCATTTCCTCGACGTATATAGGCACAGTTTCGTTAGGCTTTTGGATCCTCGATTGTAGCAGAATTTCAGCCCTACCTTTGCGCAGCATGTTGGCAAACGTCCTCAAGAAATCAGTCTTGAACACCTCCCACGTTGTCAAAGAGGCCTCATGGTTTTCAAACCACGTTTTAGCGGGGCCGTCGAGTGCGAAGAAAACGTGACTCACCTTCATCTCGTCATTCCGATTGTTTTGTGAAGCCACCCGAGTGAATTGGTCGAGCCAATCTTCTGCATCTTCTGCAAGCGAGCCGTTGAAGGTTGGAGGCACTCGAGGCTGTTGCAAGATTACAGGGGTGGGCGCACCTGGTAGGCTCATGTTTGACGTCGAGTTTTCGTTTTTCTGTCGAGTGTACTCCTGTAGTGTTCCGGGTTCCGGTGGCAACCCTTGTAGGCGGCGGCTACTGCGAGTCGCGTCGCTGCTTTTGGGAGCCTCGTCCTTCCGTGCAGCTGTTGGATCAGGGACCTGGAGCATACCCAGCACCTCCACAAGTTGTCACGTAGCCGCGACGATGAAGGAACGTGCACGAGAGGATCGGGAGTAAGCCGCAACAATCTTTTATTTCACTGGGCTGACGTGCGCCCGAAAGAAACAAGTGAACCGCCTTACAGCTGGCGAACTACTACACCGGTGCCCACGGCTGCCCTCGGCTTATTCGCGAGGGGCGTTTTCTGATAAAACGCGGCACGAAGATAAGTTCAGGGATCACGCCTTCATGATGGAGCGCAGATACACACTAGCCACGTGCGTCACAAGCAAAGCGATAAAGATGGCAAGTGATTGCGGCAATATGCCCACTTTACAATACCGAAGAGCTGTTGCCCGGCTGAAATTTCTACACTCACTTTATTTCAGTAAATTTGACATTTGTCCAGAAACTGATATAAGAAATCAAATCTCAAGACAAACTCGACATACTCACCGTTACACTCTTGAACCTTACTTCGCACGTACTAATCTTTTCATGAACTCGTTCTTTCCTCGGACGATCAATGATTGGAACGCGTTATCTTTTGAAGCATTCTGTGATAATGAAAATCCTGACTTCAATAACTATGTATCTTTCCATTTTAACCGTACAGCTCAAGATCTCGGACTGTCTCACGTTGTATTTGATTTGCATTCTCCGGTTGCAATTTGCGATTTCTTGCTGCCATTTAACTTTGTTGCTGCCATTTAACTTTGTTAAAATGTTATCCTGTGTTCTACTGCCTTAAAAAGTTTTTATTGCTTGAACTTTCTTTTTATTTAGGCTACATTGTGAATCACTTTTTATTATGCCCCCCTGCTTGGTCTTTCGACCGCAGTATTCTGTAAAAAAATGAGTTGTATTCCATAGTTTGAGTTACTCTTCAAGATAATATCACCAGTGAATCGCAGGTTACTAAGATACTGTTCATTACCTTTTAGCTCTAACTCTTTCCAATATAGGGTCCTGAGAATCTCTCGTAAATACGCCGTGAATAGCATTGAAGAGATCGTGTTTTCCTGCCTTACTTCTTTCTTTATTGAGATTCTGTCGCTTTTCTTCAGAAGAATTATAGTGGCTGTACATGCACTGTTGACTTTTCCCAGTATGTTTATGTAGGGTTATTCGACGCTTTATTCCATAGTGCCTTTCCTGTTGATGGCTCGGCTCAGTCAAATGCCTTCCCGTAATTCATGAAACTTTTGTGCAGAGGTTGGTTGTATTCCTCGCATTTCTCGATGATTTCATTGATAGTATAAATATTGTCTATGGTGGAGTAACCTGTACGGATTTCTTCTTGATCCTATGGTTGATTGAACTCTCATGTCGCTTTAGTTTTACTAGCGAATATTTTTGTAAATTGTTTGTAAAGAAAAACGTGGTCTAGTGGCTAAGGTACTCGGCTGCTGACCCGCAGGTCGCGGGATCAAATTCCGGCTGTGGCGGCTGCATTTCTGATGGAGGCGGAAATGTTGTAGGCCCGTGTACTCAGATTTGGGTGCACGTTAAAGAAACCCCGGTGGTCAAAATTTCCGGAGCCCTCCAATACGGCGTCTCTCATAATCATATGGTGGTTTTGGGACGTTAAACCCCACAAATGAATGAATGAATGTTAGTAGGAAAAACAGTAAGCTGATCGGCCTGTTTTTTGAGATCCTTCTCCTCTCATTTCTTATAAATTAAAATGATCTTGGAGTTTTTTCCAAGACTCTGGTACGCTTCCCTTCAAGAGGCACTTCGTCTATAAGGCGGCCAGTTTTCTAAGAAAATTTGTCTGCCATCTTTCACCAGATCGATCGTTGCATTATCTTCGTCAGCTGTTTTCTCTCTTTGCATTTGTTATGGGGTTCCCTTAATTCCCCCTGAGATTACCGGAAGGATGTCAAATTTCTCTGGGCTGTCAGTACTTCTTACAATTTCATCCTGGTGATTCCGGTTTCGGTAAGGCTTTCTGTAGAACACTTCCGCCACCTCAACTATCCTATCCGTATTGGCTATGGTGTTACCTTCCTTGTCCCTTACGCATACACCGAATATTTGCGTATGCCTTAGTTTGCCTTCACAGCTTCTACGCTTCTGCTGCTTTTACAGCGAAAGCTGTTATGAGATCAAAACTCGGGCCGCGCGTGGCGCCGTAGTTGTGCGCCGGTGCCACCGCCAGTGTCCTAAAAGAAATCGCACGATAGTAGAAAAAAAATTGGCCCAAATGTACAAGTTACACTGTAAATGTCGTCTAAAGCCGATAGTCTTGCGTCTGGAGAGAGTGAACAACATATTTATTTGTTGTTATGCGCAAGAAAATCGGTGAATTGTATTCTGCAGGCGCTGCGTTAGAGTGCCTCAAGCGGGTGGTGGAGGGGAACGAGCGCATCAAAGCACGTTAGACACAAGTGCCATGTGGCAGTTACCTTCAAAAACGAAGGTATGCAGCCCACAGAGAAAGATGCGCGCCAGTCTCGGAGGTAAGAGGGTGTAGAACGCAAAGCGACGGGTAGATGCCACCACCGTGACGTTGTAGCAAAGTGTTGGAAACACTTTTTTGAGCATCGCGTTGCATCACGTTGCACTGAGCATTGCGTTGCAAATACGAACGCCTAAACCTTGAGCAATATTTGTGGGCGCTGCGAATGAGGTTGGCCGTTTGGTGCCGTTTGAGGTATTGTTAGGGCGGACAGACAGACAGACAGACAGACCAAAATTTTTCCGTCGAAGCTCCCCAAGAAAGACTATCATCTTTAAATAACAGTACGAACGACACAGTGGGGCTCAAACCCGGGTCTGCTTGGTGCCAGCCCAGTATTCTAGCCCTTAGCCACGCCAACACTTGGGACTTGTTGGCAAACTTGCCTTATGCAGGCTTGACGCCCGGAAAGCAATAGCATTATTACGACTTTATAGCGTTTTGAAACAGTGAAAGAACCAGTCCTCGCACAATGCGAATAGCGTAACGAGTGGGTTGTCGAGGCTCCAACCCATTACGAAAACTTGCTCTTGTTCACCTTTTAACTAAGGCGCATACCCATTTCCACCACAGTTCCTCGTCATCGTCAGCCACTGCGTGAACAATTGGCACAAAATTCCTTGCAAGTGTTTTGCGGATACCACGCTTCTCAGAAAAAAAATCACATCGAATTCCAGCCTTTTACTTAAAAATTATCATCAATGCCGTAGTGAGTATCAAGCATTTTGCATGCAGCAGTTACCCAATGAGTGTTCAGAAAATGCTCTGAAAGGCTGCTTTTCTAGATTTTCTTGTGACTGTGCTGCGCCTGCCAAACAGGCCTGGCGTTTTAGCAGCAATATTGATTGTCTCGATTTTATATCTTCGGCTTTTAACCACCTTAGAAGAACAAATGATTCCTTAAGATAACGTGCACTATGTTAAACAGAGAGAGCAAGGGATAGAAAGTAGGGGTTGCTTTTTTGCTATATAAAGCAGCAGAAGAATTTTCGCTCAGGGACATAACAACATCGAAGATGGTGATCGTAGAAAAAAAGCGTTACTTACAGACAACTGTATCGCAGACATGAATCACCAGGAAAAAAATTACAAGGAGCCATGTCATTGTAGCGAGGTCTTGTCTCAGCTCTGTCATTTACATAAGAACACCAATGCCACAAGTAATTGCATTTGGGAAATTCCATGAATATCGCGAAAGCAATAGTTTATTTGTACAGCTCTTCGAAATAAAAATAAATGTTTGTAACACTCAACATCACAGCCAGGATAACTGAAGGCCATCTGCTTTTTCTCGATTTTCTGCGCTTTATATTTCGGTATTTACAATTTTCTTCAGGCAAATGAATGTTTGATAATCAAATATTGCAGGACGCAGCAGTTATTTTTCATTGACCGTGCGAGTCATTTCACTTTGTTGTACTGTCCTACAAACTTTAAAAAAAGACTAAACTTCAGTATGATGTCGACACTTTATGGATGAGGTACTTTGTCGAGTTATTGCACCGAAGGTTACATTGGGTTCGATTTGTGCCTTCGTAATTTCTTATTACGGTGGGATAATTTGTAATGTTGTATATTTCAAGAACACACCCTTGCTTTTATTGGTGTGACCGCTAATCACGAAGTGAAAGACAAGCGCTAGCACCAGCAAACTTAACATGAAGCAACAAAGAATGAACAATTATATTGCTTCCAGAAGGAACGCGGTCCTTATTACAAAAACACTACCTGCGGGAATTCGGGACGGATAACGGTGGCCATACTCGATGGCGCAACCTGGCTACTTTAACGCTCTAAAAATTGGGGAATTCTGTTCAGGAGTGGCTTAAAGCACGAGTGCTGTGCGTCTAAATCATGTTTTCAGTGTGCGCACGAAAATAGTACCTGGTATAAATGACAACATGTGTTTTTGTGTTCAAACAATCATGGTTTGAGGCGTCCAAGATTAGTTTCCCGCACGATGTCAGGGTATCTAGTTAGTCTGTCATGGTATCTAGGTAACCACGTGCACTAACACAATATTTCGTTACACAAAGTGCACATCAACAAGCTGAGTAGATCATCTGTCCTGCGTGAATTGTCTACCCAACCACTAATTTCTCCCATTGCCCAGACAAAGACGACTCATCACACCTTACAAGATTCCGCAGAATCTCCCATTGTAATAAATCTCAGAGACTAAGTGAACCGTAATTCAATGACTGGACACACTTTTGAAAAACAAATTGTATACAGGAAGCAATGGCTTATCTTTTCTAGTTTTGAGCGTATTTTATCTTCGCGGACATGTTGTTTGTCAACAGGATTTGAGCTATAACCTTTAACTTTACTAACCAGAGAAGTCTTTCTATGGTCTTAAATACGCAAAAGAAAGCCACCTTTGGTGTCAAAGGTTTCGCAGTAGCCAATGTATATGAAGGCGAAAACATGGGAGCGTTATGCAAAATGAAGAGAAACTTGAATTTTTTCAGAGTGTTAGAATAGCACTTTCGTCTACGTGATGTCTGACCCATGTGGATATAATGAGCTCAAGCTAATGGTTAGGCAACATCAATTGTTTTTATCAATTTTATAGCTACTAACGTGTGGTCACTGTGCTCTTTACATAGAAGGATCCTGCATATCCATCAGGCTACTGCTAAAACATTCGGCTGAGTTAACGTGCCTCACCAATCAATGTATATGAAGGATGCAGAGGGTTGGTGACTGCTGCTATATTTTTATTGAGGCAACTTTTATGAAATAACTCAAAGGTATGTCAACTTCTGACGCACATACGTGTGTTGAACATCCCTATGTTTCATGTAAACATACGTTTACAGCTGCGTAACCATGTTGACTGCATTATAAGGGTATTACCAACACTAGCAGTACATGCAGTAGAGCTCTCGTTTAAAGTAGTTGGCGGACACTTCAGCACATCTTGCAGAACTACGAAAAAAATACCTGAACGATGAATAGTTGCGCCCATCATGTTTATTCTCCTTGATTCATGTTTCTTTTTTTTTGTTTCAAGTAGCCGTTCAATGTGTGTTTGAACTAATGTATCGCTCTTGTGCTTGGAATGTTGATAGCACTGGATGATGCTACGCCGACTGACATCACTGCAAGGCGCCGAAGTATACACTATTGATGTTAACCTAATGTCACGCATGTATTATAAGAGCATGTAACGTGTGACACTATGAATGTGTAGTGCGTCACAGTGGCGAGTACGAGTTTCCCTCACTTGTCTTTTTTAGTTTTTTAGTTTTTTAACACAGTGTTCGTGTCCTAGCCATAAATTGATGTGGGGACAACGCAACGTTTTCGAAACGATTCAAAAGCCAGACTTCAGCCCATAAATGATATCGGAGTGCACAGCGCGCCAGCGTCCAGCAGGCCCCGTGCAGCTTGACAGCGTGCGAATATCCAGCGCCACAATGGTCCAATATTCAGGTATAGCGCTGGGAGAATACCACTGCGTTTTCGATAGGAGTACAGTATTCGCGTAAGCAAAGGGCAATCTGGAAAGCCAATATACACTTTCGCTTTCCCGCCATAATTGTTTCAATTCACCAAGGGTAGCCGATAGCAGGAAGTCGTGATATATAGTTCTATATATCCCTCTCACTTACACAGTGTCATGGATTACAGGGTGCGTCCTAACCAGCTAACGGTTACTTTTATCCTGCACTCATTGTACCTCACTCTACATATTGCCATGAATAGCAGACACTGTGAAATCAGAGGCCGCGTACTGCCCACTGTTTCGAACACGTATCTCTGTTGAATATGTTACGAGCTCCGCCCGGACGAGCAACGAATTTACAGTGTGCAGATATTTACAGACATTTACAGTGTGCACAGACATTTACAGTGTGCAGATACACAAACATGTGAATCTGATCAAGGCACAAAAAACAATTCTCACTTTTAATTTCTATTTTTAAAAGTTTATCAGAGCTAGTGTGGTCATCAGCACACTTCTGAAGTGAAAATTTGCGCTTTTGTAAAACACCAGACAAATATTTGCCTTACTGAAAAGTACTGACCTATCAGTAAATATTGGAAAAGTAAATTTTTTACCACTTACAACCGCTGGTTCGAAAACAAGTCAGATAACGATAGGCGCGATCGCTTCGGACAGAGCGCTCGTAGTTGCTTAGTGCACTCTTGGGAAGAACAGGTTTCTTTTATATAATAGAAATGCCGCCATATAAGTGAATAAATTATGATGACACGCGCTGTGTGAAGGTTTTTAATAAGTGAAGTGACCTTTACGATAACTTACTTAGTTTTACTAATGACGTGTTATTAGCTGACCTAATGAAATTCGTATTCTTGTTAGCTGATTAGTTACCTTGTATAGTACAACAAAGAACCGATCTTTCTTGTCTTGGCTTACTAGGATGAGCATATATCTTACAAGCTTGTTAATGCGAAGCAAGCACTTTGAGCATCTCTCTCTCTCTCTCTCTTTATATATATATATATATATATATATATATATATTGTGATGAGCGAGACAGAGAACAAGAGACAACACCCGATCCTGGGCCAGCTGTTCTTATTCTGCACTTTGTCTTCCTCTGCTTCTTCCAGCTAGCTCCTCGCACCCAGAGCCCCGATTCCGCTGCTTAGTCATTAGTGCTCATCACACTCGGCCATGACTGCGAGTGCGTGGAGCTGCCGACAGTGCTTCAGGTGGGCGCGGTTGGCAGCATCATGGTGGTTGGACTCTTCCACGCTTGAACTTCATGTGAAAATATTTTGGAGCGAAGTCCAGTGGCTGACATCGAATGTCTCGCCGTGGTCGTTCGAAATGTCGGTTAAGACATTTCGGACGACCGAGGTTTGCTGAGGTTCGGAGTAAACTTTGGCCGATAGCGACTCTGGGTTACGACTTTGTGTTGCTGCGGTCTATAACACCAGCCATGTTGCAACGCTTCCAGTGCGTTTTCCGATGGGCGGAATAAGTTCTGTCGCTGTGGCTGATCTCGTCCTAGGTTCGACGTGTTCCGAAGACTTGGTGAAAACAGTTCTGGCGTGTGGCATTGACTTCCTCGCCTGGGTCGGACCCGTCTAAGCTGTGACTTGGCACGCTGACGCTGTATTTGGTGCCTTGGTCGGCCACAGTATCGTCGTTGACGTTGGACATTGGCATTCAGTCGCACCTTTGTCGATGAAGACTCGGGGGTATGAAACTGGTTGTACCTCGGTGGTCTTCCTTTACGACGCAGTAACATGGTGTAGAGATTTGGTGGGTGACAGTGGGTGTGTTGAAGCAGTCGTTGCATGCCGAGTAGACCTTTATGTCATCTGAGTAGGGTGGTGTGGTTTTTATGCGCGTTTGAATGCCGAGCCGGGAAATGTTCGCGCAACAGAGGGTGAGTGTAAGCGCTCACAGGCCACTGGACACAATCATGATGCCACGTGCCCGCAGCTTCCTTGCTGTTATCGCTCTTATTTTCACCGACCTGCTCATGGCCTGAACAATCAAGGGCGATTTTTATGGTGACGACTTCATGGGGGTCTGCGCGACGTTCAGGTTGTACTTTGGGAATCAGAATGGCGTGCTTGTCGCCGTCGGCAAGATCGTACATCATGTTGCCAGAAAGGCCGATGCTGGCTCTCTCTGCCTGGAACGCATCGATGTAGCTCACAGGTTCGGCCAATGACTGCAGATGTGGTACACGCTGGACCAAGATTGTCTCCTTGCTATCCACGGTTTTCTCCGACAGCTCTATCTTGGAAATGGCATTGGTTGCTGGCACGGAAGTTCGTGAGATGGGACTCGGTGTGGAACCTGGCATAGAAAGAGCAACGCCTGCCTTGGTGCCTGTTTCAGTGTACCCTGCGGAGCGTTCAGCCAATAGGTCATCAAAGCTTATGCAGGGTACAGCTGCACATTCGTGGTGGTTCAGTGTGGGTATGTCGTTTGAGTGACGTCCTTCATGAGGGCCGTCTTCGATAGTGGTCTTCGGCCGAGCTGAACTTGAATTGGACGACGGCACAGAGTCCGAAAGCTCATGTGACCTGCAATGCCTGACTGCAACCTGGAGGCTGAAACCCTCGGTAGTCGTCAGGTTGAACTGGGTGGTGGAAGGGAGATCGGAGAGCGTCCGGCCAAAGGCAGCTATGAGCTTGGAGTTCCACTCCACCCAAGACTGCTGCTTGAAGCCTTCATACCGGTGCCACGCCGCTTCCTGAAGACGGTCTACAGCCACGGTTCATTTTTGATTTTCTGTCCAGGCCTCGCGCATTGCTATCGCGTTGACGGTTGCCACTCAGCTGTCGGCGTCGTTCCGGACCCCATGAAATTCCGGTAGTTCACAGACGGCTGGTGATATTGAGGTGGAAGGTGGCAACACAGAGATCACCGACGCGAAGGAGTCGAGCTGGTGTGAGAGCTCGATCAGAGAAGACTGAAGCTCCCTGCGTTGCTCCGATGTGCTTGCCTCAAGGTCGTATGAGGCAGATACATCCAACACTGCGTTAATATCCCACAATGTTGGCAACATTGTAGGAGCTCGCTCAGCGATCAACGCTGTCAGTTGGCTAGTCTCGACGCGGAGTAGTGCGATGGTACGCCGCAGGTCCATGGTGCTGTCGGGCGTTAAGCATAAAGAGTCAGTGGTCGTGCTCGTTGAGTAAGTAGCAATTGCGGCACTCACCCCGCTGAGGTCGACGAGCAGGGAAGCCTGGACGGCGTTCCGTGGTGGCTCGTTTGTTGAAAGAGTACCGCAACGGAAACGTAGGCCATGGGAAACGTCAGCGGCATTTCCAAAGGACAGGAGCCGGTGCGGATCCCTGCCGTGAAACGGTGGCAGGGTTTCAATCAGGTCATGGCCTAGAACGCCAGGGAAGGCCTGGACACCGTCCACAGGTGGTCTGAAGGGTGGCTGAAGTGGCGGGTGGGACCCCATCGCTAAGGAAGCGTGAACGGCGTTCCTTAGTAGAGAAGCCCGCGTTGCCGACGAACCACGAAGACACGTACCGGTGGCTTTCTGCAGAGGGTTCACTTGGCGGACTGCGCCATTGTGATGAGCGAGACATAAAACAAGAGACAACACCCGATCCTGGGCCAGCTGTTTCTTATTCTGCACTTCGTCTTCCTCTGCTTCTTCCAGCTTGCTCCTCGCTCCCAGAGCCCCGATTCTGCTGCTTAGTCATCAGTGCTCATCACAATATATATATATATATATATATATATATATATATATATATATGTGTGTGTGTGTGTGTGTGTGTGTGTGTGTTGTGTGTGTGTGTGTTCTTCGACGGGTTTAGTGCTTTGTATACGGTTGAGATACAGCGCACGAACGTGTGCACACATTCATTAGTTTTAATGTTCGGCAGACGGGCCTGCTGTTGTTTGTTCTCTGACGAAGGCAGGCTCTTCTGCATATATATATATATATATATATATATATATATATATATATATATATATATATATATATATATATATATATATCAGTTTACTACGTCTCGTCAGGCTGCTATGTATGGGATAGTGAGATGATCTTACAAACACGACTTTTTGGTCACGACATGAATAATGTCACAATCCCTGCGCTTACGTCACCAAACACTTTTCTCAATACACTGACACATACCCGCAGGCGAGTATATGGCACTGGTATGCAGGTATATGCCACAGGTGAGACACTTCATATCTACCGAGGATGGACGGGAACACACGTGGGTCATTTTAACGTGTGAGCGTCAGGAAAAAGCTGACATAAGCTGCGTGTGACCGCCGAATATGAAAAATCGTGTCTTGGTTCCAGCAGGAATCAGACCGCAAAATTGTTTGGCAACCAAAATCTAGATGGGAGCCGACAGATAGAAACACGCAATAGGATAGTCAGGGTTAACAGTGGAAGTGCCTCCTACAGGCTGGCCAACGTTTTGATAGGTGGACCTATCTTTCTTCGTCAGAAGAACCTTGTCATCTTTGGCGTGTTAGTTTTAAGAGTGTTAATAGGTATCTGATCTTCTAGTGGTGGCGCGTGTTCCAGTTGACGATCGCCATATGGAAAGAGAAAAACTATACAACAGAGAAGTGCAGCCCTCGCTTCATTTCAAGATAAAAATGTCCTTGTAGGATGGGGGAGAAAAGAAAAAAAAGGGGAAGGGGAAAAAAGAGGAGGAAGAAGAAACACGCAATCTAGGAGATGTGTGCTTCAAAGTGGGGTCCGCTATAGAAACTAGAAAAGGAAAGAGCTTCAAAGTTCGAAGCCTGCATATGGTCACCACAACCGGCAACTACAGAGGGTTGCCGAGGATAGCGGCTTACATTTGTTCCCGAACAACAATGAGTGATGCTCATAACAAGAAAGCTGTTACAACAGGTGAGGGGGGGAGAAGCAGGCGGCGTACTTTTAAATGCCAAAATGTCGAAAATAAGCAATTCCGGATTGGGTCCGAAAAGATTGTGTTTATAGGAATGGTCATTAACACAAATATTTTTTCGATGTCATCGTAGGTGGCCCGCTCAGCAAAATTGCCTAAAGCTTTCGTGGCGCTCAGCAGAATTGCCTAAAGCCTAAAGCTTTGGCGGGGGGGGGGGACGCAGAGAAATTTCTGGGTTGGCCGTGACCTACATGATGCGTGGCAGCAGTGGTTTAGAGGCGAGTAAAGTGCAAAGAACGCAGTGGTTGAAAGGTTCTTCAAGAAAAAAGTCGTGGTTGTATATGAACATAAGCATATCTATATTTAAAATGGAAAAAATGAAAGAGAATAATAGTACAATATGTCGGCTAGGACAGATTTATTACACTATCAGTTATGTCTATTTGACGGCTGAACGTGTATTGTCGCTGTAAATATTGCTGCAGTTATGCTATGGCTTTCACTGATTAAAAATTGCAACGTGCTACATTGATTTCTGATGGGTGTAGTTTGGCAACCAAGTGGTATACCACAAAGCCACACCAAGTCTCAGAACTGTTCCTTGAATACACCGCAATGTTCCTAAAGCCTGCGCTTGGAATGCAGTTATGACTATCCAGTTTTATTAGCAAGCATTTCTTATGTAGTTTTATGAAACAGCCGTCACGTGAGGTTAAAATCAACCATAGGTCAGCGCAGCACACTGATGTTGACTCCCAGTATATATCAACCAAGTAAGTGGGTGAACACATAT